TTTTTTTTTTTTTTTGACTATCAGTTTTATTCTACTTTTGCAGTTTTTGTTCTACAGCACTTGTTGTCGTTGTTTCGTCTCATATGCAATATATATTGTTGTTTCTATTCAACTGAGTCCAAATCTCGAAGTTTGATTAGTTGAAAAGCCCTACAATTTTCATAATTTGATCTGATTTTCTTTTCTTGTTTCGTTTGTTTTACATTTAATGTATTACGCTGAAGGCTGTAGTTGTAAAAAAAAAAAAAAAAAAAAAAAACTTCTGATAGAATAACTATTTTTGGGGCTGTTTAACACAGAAGGAGAACAAAAAAAGATCTGTAGTATCATTACACAGTACTTTAAACTTTTCAGATAACCAATTGGCTAACAAACAGTTATGCTAAAACAATACATCGTTTTGAAAATCGAATTTGCAGTTAGGAAAGAAAAAATAAAAGTCAGAAGTATAATGAAGTGAAATAAACTTAACAGATTATTAACAGTTAACAATAGGTCACTGATTGTTTTCCTTTTTTTATTTGTTCTATTTGCTTTATGCAACCCGCTAATTCAGAATGATCTTTTGTTTCGTTTTCATCTGTTGATTCTGTTTAATCCAGTTTACCACATTAACACAAAATTAAAGAGCAATTTAAACAATTTGTATAAATTTGATGTAAGTCGTTTTTTCTTTTTTTTCTTTTACTTTTCCCTCCCTTCTCCCTCTCAATTAAGTGTTTATTTATTTGTTTATTCGTGCTGTTCTGCTCGTATGCTTGTAGACTAAGGAAGGACAGAAGAAAAGTTAATAGTTGTGCTAAACAAATAAAAAATAAATAAATAAAGGAAAAAAAACGAAGTATTCTACAGCTGCAAATTTACTTATTTTAACAACTTATTATAACTTATTGCATAGTATTTGCGTTAACAGTTGAAGTAACTAAAAAACAAAAGGAAAAAACAAACAAGTAATAAAGTGCTGTTTAAATATATCCAACAGTTTGATTCGAAATGTATCTGTTAACAACTGTCTTCTTGGCATATGTACTGATTTTTTTTTTCTGCAAGCTACTGCTATTGTTTTATTCATATAAATTTGTATTTTTTTTTTTTTGCCTCATCATTTATAATTTAAAATTTGTTACTGCATTATTGTAACCAACTGAAAATTAATAGATGTTTTCAGATGAACCTTTTTCTTTCTCCCTTTTTTATTTGCTTAAACTTTTGCTTTACGGTTAAGGGTATGGAAGATCTAATAATGATTGATAATTGTTATATTTCTGTATATGTAAACCACAGAATTATTACGTATTAAGCATATATTGTATATGTGCTTTGATATATTTGCATATTTGTATTTGCTTTTGTCTGGGTCTGCTTGTCTCTTCTGTGTGTATCTGTGTGTCTGTCTGTGTGTGTGTGAGTGAATGTGTGTGAACGTATTGTTTATATGTTTGTGAGTGAGTGAATGTGTCAGTGATGTGTATCCACAGTCTGTATTTTTATAAAATTTCTTGCCCAAATATTGTTGGTTAATGTTATAACAGTTTAAGAGTGACAAAAAAGTAAAAAAATTATCTCTACAGAAATATATTTTGCATTTTAAAAAATTTATCTCAGTATAATTCTGCTTTTTTCTGCTCTTCGTAGTGCTAGTCAATTTTTGTTGATAATTTTTGCAATTTTTTTAATGACTTTTTACCATCTATATT